CCCAGCTTCTCCCATAGTGCACAGTTATCTATAGGCAGGCTCCATCTCCTCCTCCCCGCTCCTCCCCTAGTACACAGATGTCTATAGGCAGGCTCTATCTCCTCCTCCCCAGCTCCCACTGTGGTCCACAGATGTCTATAGGCAGTCTCCATCTCCTCCACCCCAGCACCTCCCCTAGTGCACAGATGTCTATAGGCAGGCTCCATCTCCTCTTCCCCAGCTTCTTCCTTACTGCACAGATGCCTTTAGGTAGGTTCCGACTTCCTTCCTGCTCGTTGTGGGTTGTGATGAGCAGCTGCTAAGGTCACAAGTCTGAAGAGTCAGAAGACAAGGACAGATGATGTTTTGGACTTGGAGGAGGAGGGCTGGTGCAGGCAGAGGACCGGGGCTTTGGAAGCACTGGATCTGGAGAAGGAGCAGAGCTGGGGCCGTGGTGTTTGGGGCAAGAGCAAGGGGAGACTGGAGGGCGATTGCAATAAAGGAGTTTAGGTGCTGCACAGTGGAATGGGGGTGACATGTTTGCAGCCCAAGTGCTGTGTACCTTTGAGTGGTGCGTCTTAGATTCTCATGGGTGGATATTCTTTGGAGTTGGGGATGGAGAAGTCAGGAGAAAAAAGGCTGCCTTCTTGGAGAATTTGTTGACGGTTGGACCTCAGACCTGGAACAGGCTGAGTGGGTGAGGGGGGCAGCATTCTGTCTAGATAGTTTCGAATTCCCCAGAGAAGGCTGCTCCTCACACCCCACCAGACTCTCAGGAAGGAAATGATGACTCTTAACAGTGCTGATTGCTTTTGTTGCTTTTGCCTTTGTCCCCTGAAAGGCAAATTGCCCCACCAGACCTACCACTTCCTGAGAAGAATCACACAAGGCTGGGTGCCTTGCTGTCAACAGCAGGGCGCTCCGCCTAGGCAAATCACCCAGGTGAAAATGTGAGCTGCCAAGGAGCGTTTGAAATGGTTGAAATGAATGTTAGCGGCTGCTCGGCAAGGTTAAGATGTCAGGGAAGGGCAGTGTGGATGTCCAGGAGTGTGGGTGCCTGTGGAAGGGGAGAGAAGGTGCTAGCACAGCATCCAGCTGCAGTCCGAAGGCTTTGCCTTGTGATGGAGATGGTGCCTGTGGGTCCATGTGAGTTTTGGGTCTATTTTTGCATTAGCCAGCAGTCCCACTTCCTTCTTGGTCTCCTGTGTGCTGCCCTGAACCATTGTGCAGTGCTGGCCACGTGGCAGTTCCACCAACATTGTGGGGCCTCTGAGATCGGTCAGACAGTATTGAAGTAAGTCTGGTGCTGTTACTTGCTTGCTTATTAATTTTTTAAAAAATAGAGACAGGGTCTTACTCTGCCATACAGCCCGGAGTGCAGTGGCACAATCATAGCTCACTGTAACCTCAAATTCCTGGGCTCAGGGGATCCTCCTGTCTTAGCCTCCCCAGTAGCTGTGACTACAGGCCAGCGCCACTGCATATCCGGGGCTTTTTAAAAAAGGCCACTGAATGTACAGTTAGGGCTCACAGCGTCAGCCTCGGCAGAAGCAAGAGCCAGTCCTGCCTTTTTCCAGGCAGAGGTTGGTCCTAGGTAAAATGTAATTCCCATCTTCTGGAGGGATGTTCCTTCGTTGCCTTCCCTTCCCTTCCTCCTCTCATGGGACTCTTGGTTTCTCCACTTGAAACTGGAGAAAGTCACTTATGCTAATAGACTGTGGATACATTCACTAGCTTAGTTTGTTTTCTTTCCAGAGGTGTTTGTATTTTCAGAGGAAACACAGCTTTAAACCAAAGGAGGAAGCTCCTCTGGAATATTAAGTTACTGCAAACAGGGTTGAGAGATTGGGGTACACAAAGGCACTCCTGAAATTGCATAGTTTTGGAAGCACCTTGTAGGTCAGCTCTTGGTCAGTCTGTAGGTTTGACTTCCAGTAAACTTGACAGCCAGGCAGCACAGGGACTTAAAAGCCAGGGTGAAATACCGTGTCTTCCTAACATGTGCGTATGTGACCCTTTATATCACAGCATGAGGTACCAGGTGCTCAAGTGATGAATGTAACCTACAAATAATAGAGCTAGGGGAATCAAATGAGGTTGGATCATAGAAGTCAAGTCTTCGTGGGATTAGATACGAGCTTCAAGGATGGGCGTGTGACCCCAGTAAGTAGAGCAGAGCTGGCAGGAGCCCTCAAGCGGGAGAAGGGCGTCAGCAGAGACTACAAAGTGCTAAAATGTGGTTTCTGTGCAGGACGGCGAGGAGATTCACTTCTCAGTGGTGAGGAGTTTGTACTGAGCTGCTGTGCAATGTCAAACAGGCCCCTGTCTGAAGATGGAGATTGTCTTTTGCTCTGCCGGCTGAAGGGAGCTAGGAAAGAGTGTTTGAGTAGGGGTGTAAATGAATAGTGTGCTTTAGGGAAATGTGTCTTCTGGCAATATTCATGACTTTCCCTTTTAGCAGGGAAAGATTAGAGAAGAGTCTAGAAAGGGAACTATTGTAGCGGTGCAGGCATGAAGTGGCTCTGTCACTCAACCAAACCTAGTATCACCCTCTAAGTATTTCATTTAGGCCCTGGAAGACACGAGGATGAAGAAAACCCATTGCCTGCCTCCAGTTTGCTTAGTCTCTAGTAAAGACGTGGGCCATGCCAATAGCACTGAGAGGAAAAAGGAAGGCACGCATTTTGAGAAAGATTTTAAAGGAAAACAAAACAGGTTTGGTGGCTGATAGAGACTGAGGGCCAAAGGGAGGGATTGGAGCAGAACCCATCTCTGCTTGTAAGTAGTGGGGCTGGGAGAAGGCATAGCAGGGAGGGGACTTGGGACGTGGGGAGGGAGAATTGGGATTTATTGGGAAAGTTTTGAAGAACTCAAGTTTTGTGTATAGTAAAATATCCTGGCCCATCAAAAGTGGAGAGGGTGAGAAGGTAAACAAAAATGGAATCTCTGTAAGAAGTCAGGGTTAGACTGTAGATTTAAAAGTCAGGCCATGCTTGTTCTTTTGTTTTTAAGACGGGGTCTCACTCCATCACTCAGGCTGGAGTGCAGTGGTAAGATCTTGGCTCATTGCAACCTCTGCCTCCCAGGTTTAAGTGATTCTTGTGCTTCAGCCCCCTGAGTGGCTGGAATTACAGGTGCACACCACCATGCCCAGCTATTTTTTTGTATTTTTAGTAGAGATGGGGTTTTGCCATGTTGGCCAGGCTAGTCTCAAATCTCTGACCTGAAGTGATCCACCCACCTTGGCCTCCCAAAGTGGTGGGATTACAGGCGTGAGCCACCCCGCCCGGCCCCGTGCTTGTTCTTAAGGGTGGTAGTTGAAGCTTTTTGAAAGGATAAGCCAAGGTTAGCAGCAAAGGATAGAAGAAGAATGAGGTTACATGAGCGTAGGAAGTGGGGAGGACCAAGGAGCCAGCAGAGGAGAATGAAGGCCTGAGACGATCAGGGACTGGGGTTGGAGAGGTGAAATGAGAGGGTGCTGTGGATTAGGAGAAAAGGCACGCAAATGAGTTAAATAGTACAAGGTAAGATCTATGAATGAAGTTCAGGAAATGTTGCCTTTTTGTTAGAAGAAGAGCTGTTAAGAGGTGGGATGTGAACAAGTCAGATATTGATGTCAACGCTGCCTAGTCCTGCGTCACCTTGGGCAGTAAACCACTCTCAGTCTCAGTGTCCTCATTATTAAGAGAGTGTATAACAGTAATATCCAAAGCACTGAGTTACTGTGAACCCTGAATGAGATAAGGCATGCCAAACTTTTAGCTCAGTGCCTGACACATAGTAAGTGCTCTTGAAAATGTTTAGCTATTACCATGGACAATAATACATTCTGTGACTGGGTGCATGATTTTTAGATTCTCCAATGTGAGGCTGCAGGAAGCCATGGAACAGATTTCTGGGGAAATCTTTTCAAACTGAGAATGCTTCCTTCCCCAATAACCTAGGTGGTTTGGGAGCGGAAAGATGGACTACATTATTTCTGGGGAATACTTTTATGCCAAAATTATGATGATCCTCTTAGGATCATAATTGTTTTTTATAACATTGGATTTTCTTGTAGGTTTTGCTTTTAAAACATTTACTACCTTTTCCAGTTCAATTTAATGAGGCTTCTACAGAGTTTAGAGATTTACCTGAGATGCTGGGGAGGAACCATGAGAGCTTAAATCCACAAAATATGTCCCTGGGAAGTTTATGGTCTGGATTTGGGGAGAGAGTGCAAATGAAAAGGAGTGAGAGCATCTGAAAGCCGTATGAGACAAGTGCAAAGTGCTGGTCCACACAGAGGCTGTGGCGCTGAAAGGCTTCAGAGCTGGAGATTGATCTGGGTCAGGTGGAGTCCATTAGAGAAAGTGTCCTTGGGCTTATCCTGCAGGATTGCTTGACTTCTAGGATGTCAATGACTGGCTGTGGGTAGAACTAGGTCCCTGTTGCTCTGGTTTCTGATTCATAATCTCCTGAGCCGTCCTCATTCTTCCAGGAGCAGGGACTGGCCTCCAGGTCTTGCCAGGTGTGCACGCGAGGCCTTACATCATCTGTGCTTCCCAGTCTTGTTTTCCATTTATTTTTCTCAGGCCCTCAGGACTGTCGGCAGGGTGCAGTGGCTCCTGCCTGTAATCCCAGCACTTCAGGAGGCCGAGGCAGACTGATGGCTTGAGCTCAGGAGTTTGAGACCAGCCTGGGCAACATGGCGAGACTCTGTTTCTAAAAAAAAAAAAAAAATACGAAAACTTAGCTGGGTGTGATGGCATACACCTGTAGTCCCAACTACCTGGGGGGTTGAGGTGGGATGATCAGAGCCCAGGGAGGTCAAGGCTGCACTGAGCCATGATTGTGCCGCTGCACTCCAGCCTGGGCAACAGAGTGAGACCTTGTCTCAGAAAAACAAGACTCTCCTCAAACCCGTGCTGTATCTCTTTTCCCTGTTTGTGCCTAAACCCACGCCACCCTAGACCTGGAATGTTCTTTCCCTGTGGGTGTCTCGCCTGCCCTTCGAGGCCCATCTCGTCCATGAATCATTTCTCATCTCTCGGCCTGGACTGGTGCTCATAGGACTCTGGTCATGGCTTCTCATTCAGCCTCACTTTCTCTGGACTGATGGTTAGCCCTGGACATGTCTGTCTCCCATGTCAGATTTCGGGCTACTTGAGGGAAGGCTTCTCGGGTTTTTGTGGCAGCTCCTGAGTGTCTGGTCTGTGGTGGGAATGCAGCACACGTGTGTTAGGTTGAATTGCCTGGATCCTTCTCCCCAGGGAACTCTTTCATTTCAGCCGCAGCCACTGTCCAGCCTAACTTGTTCAGATTCACTCATCCATGCAGAAGCTAAGTAAGGTGAGGCCCCTGCTCACCAGAACCACTTCCTGCTCTGCCCCAGAGTGAGCCTGCCAGCCACGGTGGTAGCCTGGTCCCCGGAGTTGCCGGTCACCTGGCATAACAGCAAGAAGGAGAAGCTTATCTTCTAAGATGGAAGTGATTTTAGTGCTTTTCCTGGAAAGCCATGTCCCATAACTGCTTGGAGGATGCAGGGAGACTCAGCCATCCCACCTGTGTTTAGCCAATCTGAAAAGTAGGGCTTCTCTGTCCCAGATGCCAGTAACTACCCTCTGATTGTGACTGAGTGACCCGCTAGGGAGTGGGAATTGCTAATTCCATTGAAAGGAAAAAACAGAAAGGTTTGACCAGCTTCATTACCTGGTTAAACAAACCCACCTTGTAGCTTCATCCCAGTCCATCTCCAGGCCGCCTCTTTCGTTGAGCCTTGTTTGGACTGTACCGGTGTCTTTTCATTGCCAAGAGGTGGGGAGAAAGCCATTGTGGAAGCCCTGGAAGGCCATGGTGCCTTCTTGGTGCAGGTTGGCCCCTGCACATGTGTGTACTCGTGTGGACTCGTACATGGTTTAGGGGAGTGTTGGGCAGCTCTGGACAGGGCCTGCTCTGAAACTTACCTGTTTTCCCTCGCAGTACATCTTTGCAGACGCTTATGCCCAGTACCTCTGGATCACGTTTGACTTCTGCAACACTCTCCAAGGCTTTTCCATCCCATTTCGGGCGGCTGATCTCCTCCTACACAGTAAGGCCTCCAACCTTCTCTTGGGCTTCGACAGGTCCCACCCCAACAAGCAGGTAAGAGAGCTTTCGGAACCCAGTTGCACGGGGCTCTTCTAGTTTTCTCCTCTGCCTGTGTGATTGTGTGTCCTTTGAGTGACGTCGCCTCCTGCCTGTCCCTCCTTCTGTCTCAGGCCTAGCCTTTGTAGCTACTATTTCCCTTACCAGGGCTCAAGAAAAATATCTCCTCCTGGCACTCTCAGTCGGTAGCCCAGCCAGCCATCAGCACCCAGCACTTGGCAGACCCCGTGGGTTAAACGTCATGCCCTTCTCCATGCAGTTGCACCTTTGTTAGCTCTTGGGGTAAATCGAGGCTTTGGAATTTAATCAGAGAGAGAGCCAGGTAGAGAAAGCTGGAATCTGAGCTCTTCTGGGACCTCTTGTTGAATTTCTGTTCTGCTTTCCCCATCCTCCACCTTAAACACTGCTTTTGCCTCCCATTTATTTGAAGTTACCACTAACAGTAATAGTCTTCCTTTGAGTGCGTGCATGTGTATCATATAAATGTGTGTATTTTCCTCCTTCAACCCAGGTTTGATGGAAATCCGAGAGATGAGGAAAGAGCCTCAGTAAGATTTGTATCTCAAGGTTGCAACTTGCCAAGTCAAGGATATTGGTTTGGCAAAAATCTGTGAAACTTGTAGATCCTGTATGATTGGATTTACAGTGAGCCTTGAATGTTTTTGCTCAGAGAAACCTTGGAACATTTCTTTGCAGGTTGTTTAACCAAAACACAGATCTGTTTACCTTTGCTTGCCTTAGGGAGTAACCTAAGTATGGGCTGGGTCAGTTTACCAGTGGAGGGGGAATTATCGTTTTTTTGGGTCTCATGCTTCTTTTTTTTTTTTTTTTTTTGAGATGGAGTCTCACTGTGTCGCCTAGGCTGGAGTGCAGTGGCCAGATCTCAGCTCACTGCAAGCTCCGCCTCCCAGGTTTACGCCATTCTCCTGCCTCAGCCTTCTGAGTAGCTGGGACTACAGACGCCCGCCACCTCGCCCGGCTAGTTTTTTGTATTTTTTAGTAGAGACGGGGTTTCACTGTGTTAGCCAGGATGGTCTCGATCTCCTGACCTCGTGATCCGCCCGTCTCGGCCTCCCAAAGTGCTGGGATTACAGGGCGTGAGCCACGGCGCCTGGCCCGGGTCTCGTGCTTCTTAATACATGGTTCCTAGGGCCGGAGGAACCCTCAGATTCCATCTGTGGAAGTTGAAGGGCTTTGGCAAAGATCAGCGTGTTAATTCCTCGTTGCCACAGCCGCGTATTCAGCTGGTTCCCCGCGGGGCTCTGTACTTAGCTGGTGTCCTCTGCATTCATCTTTAATTACCAGGGTCCATTACTGTTTTTTTCTTCCTTTTTTTTTTTGTGTTAAAATACTCATAATGTAAAATTTACTGTCTTGACCCTTTTAAGCATGCAGTTTAGTGATATTGAATACATTCATATTGTTTTGCAGCCATCACCTCCATCCATCTCTAGAACACTTTTCATCTTGCAAGACTGAAACTCTAAAACCATTAAATAATACCTCTGTGCCCCCAGCCCCTGGCAACCACCATTCTACTTTCTGTCTCTATGCTTTTGCCTACTCTAGGTACCTCCTAAGTGGAATTACATACTATTTTTGTCCCTTTGTGATGGACTTATTTCACTTAGCAGAATGTCCTTAAGATTAATCCATATTGTAGCATGTGTCAGTTTTTTTTTGCTTTTTAATGCTGAATAATATTCCATTGTATGCACAGACCACATTTTGCTTATTTGCTCATCCCTCACGGACGCTTGGATTGCTTCCACATTTTAGCTGTCGTGAATGCTGCTGTCTGTGAAAGGGTTTTAAGGACACTGTTTCTTCGGTGAAAAGTGCTGAGTATAATCAACCTTTTGTTTTTACCATTACCTAGAGGCTAGTCTTGAGTGAAATATAACTTTTGGTAATCCATAAATAGAAGGCAAGTCCTACTCATTTTTCCTTCCAGTTGCTATTGAGAGAAGAACACATATGTACATAGTTGTCTTTCCTTTCTTGCCCTTGTTTGCTTTTGGAGCAACTGAGCTGGCTTTGGCAGTCCCAGTGCCTGCCTTCACAGAGAGCGTGTCATGGAAGGTGGGATTTCAGCGGGTGTTTGATGGTGATGCCATTCAGGTTGTATTATACATGCCTCTTGCATCATATATGCCTCTTGCATCATGACCACTTGTCTTTGCAGCTGTGGAAGTCAGATGACTTTGGCCAGACCTGGATCATGATTCAGGAACATGTCAAGTCCTTTTCTTGGTAAGTTGTGTCATCTAAGAAATCTTGATGTACATGACCTCCTTTCTCCAGTTCTAGCTCCTTCATGGTGGACAGACCTGCCCTCACCTGAAATGTCAAGCGTTTGTTCAGGAAATACATTTTTCCAGATCTGAGAATTAGAGCTGCAAGTACAGTGATCTCACTGGGGGAGAGAGTGGGGAAGAGGAGAAAGTAAGGTTATTTATGAGAGGAGTGGTAGAGCTTTTGCATTTTTCAGTCTGTCAGGGAACCCAGGGGAATCTTGAGGCCCTTGCATGTTTGTAGAGTTTCATTTTTAGAGCATCATATTAGAAGTGGGAGTTTTTTCTCCATATAAAATTTATGCATTTCGCTGGGCACAGTGGCTCACGCCTGTAATCCCAGCACTTTGGGAGGCTGAGGTGGGCAGAGCACCTGAGGTCAGGAGTTCAAGACCTGCCTGTCCAACATGGTCAAACCCTGTCTCTACTAAAAATACAAAAATTAGCCGAGCATGGTGGTATGCACCTATAATCCCAGGTACTCGGGAGGCTGAGGCAAGAAAACCGCTTCAACCTGGGAGGCAGAGGTTGCAGTGAGCCGAGATCACATTGCTGCACTTTAGCCTGGGCAATGCAGTAAGACTCTGTCTCAAAAAAACAAAACAAAATTCTTCATTTGTTCATAACATTTTCTTGAATGTCTGTTAAATATAAAACCTACTAGATGCTTAAGGGTATAAGAAGTTGAATAATTTATGGATATAGTTATTAAGGAGAGGTAAGGAAAGACATTTCAGATACATAACACACATCGTGAAAGGGGCACAGAGGTAACAGACATCGCGTGAGAAGCTAGAGAGAGGACTTATCCTTCCATATGGGAGGATCATAGACAGCTTTGTAGAGGAGGTTGTCCTTGATCCAGGATGTGCACAACAGGTAGGATGTACCTGTGTGGAGGTGTGGAGGATAGGAATTCCAGGCAGAGGAACAAAGTGGCCAAAGGCACAGGGATGAGCCAATATAGTGCTTGGATAGAGAACATGAACTCTTAATATTGGGTGAAGTTTTGAAAGGGAAGTTGGTATTAGAATCTGCATTGCTTCATAAAGGAATTTGGGCTCCCTTCTGAAAGCAATGGGATACCACTGTAGGTTTTTGAGAAGAGGAGTGAAATAAACAGGCTGTACTTCAAGAAGTACTTGTTCTAGAACTAAATAGTAATATACTTATTGTAATTTACCATGACAGTGATAAAGTAGTACAGGATTGTGAATTATCTGAATTTGTACGTGTGTAGGCAAACGTGTAGGACAGATTTCTGGGAGTGGGTATGCTGGGTCAGTGGGTTTATCTAACAGCTGTCCGTTTACTCACATGGATGACTGATGGATATTGCAAACTTGACATCTCCCAAATTGACTCTTGATCTTCACCACCCCGAATCAACACCACCTATAATTTTTCTCATTTGCTTAGGCTGAAATCTTTGGCGTCATTGTTGATTTCACATTTGTTTTATGCTTTACATTCATTCTATCAGGAAATCCTATTGGCTCCACCTTCAATATATATCTAGAATCTTCTACTCAGGTACCACTTTTACTGCAAGCCTCCAGTATCATTGCTCATTAGTCTCCCAACTAGTCTTTCTGCTTTTACTCTTGTTTTTCTACCATTAATTCTCAGCATGTGGTTAGTTTGAGTCTATTCAAACAAATTAGATCATTCTGTTCCTCTGCTTTGAACCCTTAAATGCTTCGTCATTTCTCTCTGATTAAATATCAGATACCTTCTTACCACAGGGAACAGGATGTTTGCAATTGCTGTTTTCTCTGCCTAAAATACTCCCACCCAAGATACACTATACTGCGTACTCCCTTACCTCATTCCAGTCTTTGCTCAAATAACATCTTCTAAATGAAGCCCACCTCATTTATGCCCACCTTAGGATCCTATTTAAAATTGCACCTGGCCAGGCGCGGTGGCTCACACATGTAATCCCAGCACCTTGGGAGGCCGAGTTGGGTGGAACATTTGAGGTTAAGAGTTCCAGACCAGCCTGGCCAACATGATGAAACCCCGTCTCCACTAAAAACGCAAAAATTTGCTGGGCGTGGTGGCGGGTGCCTGTAGTCCCAGCTACTCAGGAGGCTGAGGCAGGGGAATCGCTTGAACCTGCTAGGTGGAGGTTGAAGTGAGCCGAGATTGCGCCACTGCACTCCAGTCTGGGCAACAGACCAAGATGCTGTCTCAATAAATGAATGAATGAATGAATGAATGAATGAATGAATGAATGAATAAAAATAAAATTGCACCTACTCCCCCATTACTCCCAGTCTCCTATACTGTATTCTGTTCTGTTTTGCAGAGCACTTTACCACATTCTAATATACTATTATTATGGTTATTATTTGTCTTTCTCTCTTCAATAGAGTGGAAGCTCCCCAAGGGCAAGGATTTTTGTAAGTTTTGTGCACTGATATATCCCGGTGAATAAATCCTTAAACTTGTAGCTTTGGGAGAGATTGCCAGATTTGCTATAGAAAGTGTCAAGTTTGCCCTCATCTCAACAATATACAATAGTGTCTCCCTCCACAGCCAGTGTGTTAGGGAAGAAATATTATCTCTGTGGTTTTAATTTGCATTTTCCTTATTAAGAGTTAGAACATCTTTTAATCTGCTTAAGGGTCCTTTTTTTTTTTGGAACAGAGTCTCGCTCTATTGCCCAGGCTGGAGTGCAGTGGTGCGTTCTTGGCTCACTGCAACCTCCGCCTCCAGGGTTCAAGCAATTATCTGCCTCAGCTTCCCGGGTAGCTGGAATTATAGGTGCCTGCCACCACGCCTGGCTAATTTTATTTATTTTTATTTTATATTTTTTAGTGAGAGTCTCACTTTGTTACCCAGACTGGAGTGCAGTGACAGTATCATAGCTTACAGCAGCTTCAAACTCCCGGGCTCAAGTGATCCTCCCACCTCAGCCTCTTACGTAGCTAGGACTACAGGCATGTGCAGCCATGCCTAGCTAATTTTTAAATTTTTCTGTAGAAAGGAGGTCTCCCTGTGTTTCCCAGGCTGATTGCAAACGCCTGGCCTCAAGCAGTCCTCCTACCTTGGCCTTCCAAAGTGCTGGGATTGTGGTTTATTTATTTATTTGTTTGTTTGTGTAAGTATGACCAGGCTGGAGTGCAGTAGTGTGATCTTGGCTCACAGCAACCCCTGCCTCCCAGATTCAAGCGATTCTCCTGTCTCACTCTCCCGAGAAGCTGGGATTACAGGTGCCCACCACCATGCCTGGCTAATTTTTGTATTTTTAGTAGAGACGAAGTTTCACCATGTTGGCCAGGCTGGTCTCAAACTCCCAACCTCAGGTGATCTGCCCACCTCGGCCTCCCAAAGTGCTGGGATTACAGGTGTGAGCCACTGTGCCTGGCTTCATGCCCCTTTTCTATTTGATTATTAGTGTTTTCATTATTGATTTCAAGGAGCGCTTTATGTGTTTGAGATTAGCCCTTTGGCTGTAATATGAGATAGATTGTATGTGTGTGTATTTATATTTCTATCTCCTAGTTTTTCATGTGTTTTTAGATTTTTACTAGTAATTTTAGTCCTCATTACGTGTAATGGTCCCAGAAGATGTAGATACTGCCTTTCTTTTAGTTCTCCATGTAAAGTGAAATGTCTTTTAGTTGGTATTGCTTCCTTAGTAACAGAGGATGGTAAAGATGGAGCTGGCATGTTGAGGAGCCTTACAGCTGACCATCGTCAGACACCCATAGATTCTTGTTTATGTTTCCACAGAGGGTAGCTGTTTCTGACCCTTTTGCTATTTTCCTTGAGCAGAAGTTGTGGGATCTTAGTGAAATTATAACCACAGTCTCATCCAAGGACACCCTGTGCTCAAGGAAAACCATTAGAACTTTCTTTTGCTTGATTTGAATTTTAAGGGGAAAAATTGTTCTTTTATCTGTTTAAGAAACTATAAGAGGGCAAACCAGCAGAATTACTAGATAAGGGAACATACAATTTAGAAATTTTTAAGTTCTAAAATTATATTGTACCTTCTGCCTCTGTGTAGATATACAGATATCTTGGGAGAAAGGACTGGTTTATCTCATTTAAGCTAATGACATGTCGGTTAGGGGATTTTAGGCTATTTAGGGGATTTTTCCCCTCAGGTTTCCCCATAGTAAGTGAAAGTGTAATCTAGTCTGTCAGAATAATGACATACATTTGTTCAACAATGCTTGGCAAGTTGGGAGCAGCAGGAGTGGGAAAGCTAATAATTTACATGGTCGGGAGCTGGAGATTGGCCGGACAGAACAGTGGAAGACCTGGAGGGGAGCTGAGGGGACTAAAGATACCCTGTGGAGTATCATTGAGGGATTTCAGGTGAGGCCAGGTGAGGCTGGTGACTGCTCAGAGGTAGAGCAAGGAGTGGAATTTCTCAATGAGGGCAAAGACAATAGAAAGTAGATGTCAGTGAGCGTAAGACACTGGAAGTCTAAGTGATTGCAAAGTATAAGAACTTGTAGGTGGAGCAGCTTGCAGAAATGGGAGGTCCAAATATGGATTACAGAAGAAAATTGGGATGAAAGTCATAGTTCTTTCTATCTCTAGGTGTTGGCTGCTGCTTTTGGCTAGGAAGGAATAATAGAGGTGAGCTGGGTCTCAAAATAGCTCAATAAAGGTTCCTTCCTCTGCCGTTTTAAAAATACCAAGCAGCCTCATTTTAATTTGCATATCCTCTGGCTAGAGGAAGTACTTTAATCAGTACTTCTAATTGTGGAAAAGAAGAGAACATGCCACCACCCGCCCACACATGAACACAGAGGATCTGATAGTGAAGAATAGTTTTCTCCCACACTAGGACCAAGGCTGCTGGTTTCTTCGTTGCCCTAAGAATCCAGATTGTAGGGCAAAACTCAAGTCTTGCTCTCATTGTAAAAAGAAGCTCTTTTTTCTTTGTTTTTTTGAGGCAGGGTGTTGCTCTGTTGTCCAGGCTAGAGTGCAGTGGCACAATCATGACTCACTCAGCCTCAAACTTCCAGGCTTCAATCCACCCATCTCAGCCTCCTGAGTAGCTGGGGCTTCAGGTGTGTGCCAATGTGCCTGGCTATTTTTAAATTTATGTTTTATATAGGTGGAGTCTCACTATGTTGCCCAGGCTGGTCTCGAACTCTTGGGTTCAAATGGTCTCCCTCCCTACCCTGGCCTCAGCCTCCCAAAGTGTTGGGATTACAGGTGTGACCCACTGCACCTGGCAAAAGAGGCTCTTGTTTCTCTGCTTCTTATCTTCCTTTGTGGGAGGGGTAGGGGAGAATATGCTCTTGACGGTGTATCTCTGGAGGAATTTTAACACAATTACCTTCGTTATTCTGAGAGCCATCATGCATATGGAACTGTATAAGGGCAATTACCTAACTGAGGCCTTCTGCCTTTCCTTGAGTCATCACTCTGTATTCTTACTACAAGACTATCTTCCTGACTTTTCCATTTATTTTTTCCATTTGCTGAATGGTTCCCATGGCCTTGGTGTTCTTGAGAATGTTAGGAGACCTGGAGCAGATGAGTTGTCCTCTGAGCTACCGTGTGGGGCTTCTTTGGGGAACACTGGCTCAGAAGTTCTTCTCCAAGGTAGTTTGGCCTGGTCATTCTGTGTTTTTGTTTTGGATTAGCTTCTCGAATTGCCCCACAGATCCCATGCAGAAAGTATCTCTTCAGCTAGGAATACTATAGGGTGAAAAGAAATCTCAGACAGGGTTTTCCAAGGCATCTATACTGTGTCTAGGAAGCTCAGACAAATACATAATGGTGAACAATAAAATACAGTGTCTAAGAGGCATTACTGCGTAAAGGAATAAGACTGATTCTAAAAAATGGCCCAACTACAGGGGTTTTGTACCTTTGTCTGGAGTTCAAACTCATGTGAAAGGCTTGGAATTGGGTGCTGCGGAGCGATGTTTTGCTAGTGTTGGGAGAAGAGAGGACAGCACTGAGGAAGGCTTCCTGGAAGATGAGGACTGGAACTGGATGACAGAGGAGAGTAGGAATTGGATGGGGGGATCAGAGTGTGTGCGGAGGGCATCTCTTCGTGGGAGTGTGGTGTTCGCAAAAGCACAGAGGGAGAAAGGCGTCCTCCTTTTCTGAAGGACATCGAGGAGATCAGTATGTGCGAGAAAGAGTTTGTGGAAGAGCCTCATGGGAGACGAAATGCACAGGCAGCTCCAGATTGCCTAGATCAGTGACATTGGCAGGGGACAGGGCAGAGACAGGGCAGCGTCCCGTGGATGGATCAGGCTCAGAGGTTCATAGTGTGGTTTCTCCAGTAATGTTCTTCAGAGGATGTAGCAGCTTGGGAAAACTCTCCTTCGTTCCTCTGAGATGCGTAACTTGAGACCAGAAACTTGCTTATAGCTTCAAGCAGTCCCTTGCTTATTAATTTTGAAAAATTTTATCTTGTACTACTACTTTTTGCCCTTCCCAAGCAGGGCAGGGTTGCCTTGAGCGAAACCCAGGATGCTTTGAAAACAACGTAAAACACTTTACAAATGGCAGTTTTGTCCCCTCTATCCTGAGTCAAGGAGTAACCAAAGGGATATGTTTGAGGCACGGAGAGTATCATCTGTAGGTCACACCATGGTAGGCCTAAATTCTAGTTGATTTTCCTCATTGCAAAGCCTCCATACCTCTAGTAATTAAATGTGCAAATGATAACAACCTTTTTTTTTTTTTTTTTTCCCTGCCAGGGGAATTGATCCCTATGACAAACCAAATACCATCTACATTGAACGACATGAACCTTCTGGCTACTCCACCGTTTTCCGAAGTACAGATTTCTTCCAGTCTCGGGAAAACCAGGAAGTGATCCTTGAGGAAGTGCGAGATTTTCAGCTTCGGGACAAGTACATGTTTGCTACAAAGGTGGTGGTAAGTTGAATGCACTAAAGAATAAACTACTTTTGAGTTTCCTTTGTGACGTTTGGCATTCTGTGATTAAATAGGTGAGTTGTTTGCATACACAGGAACCGGAAGGATGTGCTTGGGACAGATTGACTGAAGGATTCTCAACATTGACGACATTGACGAACATTCCCAAAGGGCTTGGCAGGTGCTAGGAAGTCAGAGGAGTGGAGAGGCCTAGGACAAACACTCAAAGTGGCTCTAGGCTCTAGGAATTTGGTTGTTTCCTGGTAGCCGAGCATTCTTGACAAAGACTATTGCTTTGAAATCCCTATGAAAAGAGCAAAGAATGGAGGAGGGGAGGGTGGTTCAGTGGTTTCTTTCCTTTAATCCCACTGCCTGATTTCCTTTAAATTTAGGCTGATTTCTTTGAGATTTTTCAATACATGTTAATTTACATGGCTAATAGGATGTGTAGTCATTGGCTAGTGGGAGTTAATGCTCTAAGAAAAGCAGTAATTAAGCTTCCAGCTGTCAGTAAGTAGCTTAACTCTCAGCCTCTGGGAAGATCTTCCCCTTGATTTGATGTCTTGGAGCCAGATGCTGAAATGGCGGGCTTGCTCGTTTAAAACCAGAGTTGATTACTTAACAGTACTTGTCTTGAAACTGTATTGAGTTCAGTCTTTATCACCCTAGTTGTAAAGGAAAAAACCAGGCCCAGTCGAGGGCAGGTGGGGCTCTTATTTCTGGGAGGCTACTAGCTTGCTTTCCTGATGGTGCCCTTCCCTTGTTGACTCAGGCTTTGTTGAAGGCCTTTGCTAACTGGGAGGTTGCTGTATTGTCTGTCACTGTTAACCTTAGAGACTGAAATCAGACGCAGTGTTTTCCTTCAGGTTCCCATTTACTTCTATAATTGGTAGTAGGCAAGGTGGAAGTAGGTCAACCTTCTTGGTAGGATTTTAGGGTCAAGAGAGGACCTCCCCAGCAGGAAAAGCAGGGAGTAAGGACAGAATGAGAAGAGAGATGTGGGTGGCTAAAGGCTAGAGGCATTTTCAGTTACACACCTTGCAAAATGTTCTGAAAAACCATTAGCCTATGGCAGTTTTTCTTGTCGGGCCATTTGCATTGATCCACAGACATCGGTTCACTGCCTTCCTGCTTTGCCTGTCTCTTTCTCTATCTTTCTCTTAGACACACATGCACAAATATGTACAGCAGCCCAGAAACATAAGCATCCTTGAATGACTTTGGGCAGGGATGGGATGATGGGAACACACCGATGAGAAATCAGGCCCAAGCACTGGTGTCTTGTGACATCAGTTGGACAGTCTTGAGTTTTCAGTATGGTCTAAAACCTTGTCTTCAGTTCTCCAGGGTTTATAGGCCTTTTCTGCCTTGGTACCTTGGGCCTGGAGTTATTGTATGATTTTAATTCTGAACGCTAAAACACATTGGCTGACTGCCTGGTTTGTCCTCCTTTTTGTGTGAACCAGGGCAGGATGGATAGCTGTTGTGCATTTCTCTTAACCGGGTTATTCCTAGGTGTCACGGCCGAGAGTTTAAGTTATATCCCAGCTGGGCTGGGCATGGTGGCTCATGCCTGTAATCCCAGCACTTTGGGAGGCCAAGGTGGGTGGATCATTTGAGGTCAGTAGTTCGAGACGAGCCTGGTCAACATGGTGAAACCCCATCTCTACTAAAAATACAAAAATTAGGCTGGTGTAGTGGCACGTGCTTGTAATCCCAGCTACTCGGAAGGCTGAGGCAGGAGAATTGCTTGAAGTCGGGAGGTGGAAGCTGCAGTGAGCCAGGATCATGCCATTACCCTCCAATCTGAGCAACAGAGCGAGACTCCATCTCAAAAAAAAAAGAAAAAAGAAAAAAAGTTATATTCCAGCTGGAGCTTTCTGTGCCCTCCATTCCAATCTAACAGCTATGTCTGTTCTCCAGATGTATCTGATTTACAGAGTGCCTGTGGTGAATTTTTAATTAAACCTAGCCAGTGGTAAGATTAGGGGTCATGTTTGTTTCCATCTCACTAATACAGTACCCAGTGCCTTGCACAATGTTTGGTACGCAGCAGATGCGCAATGGAGTTGAATGAATGCCATGTTTGCCCACGAAATTTAAAAAGTAGTCAATTTTTAGAAATGCGGTGGGAGAGGTATTAAATTTTTGGTACTTTTGTAGGCAATTCTTAACTCTCTATATGGCTTATTTATTTATATGCTGTTGGTGGCGCAACTGTAGTTATGTGTTGGCTCCTCCTCCTGCACATGGATGAACCAACAGAGTCCAAGGTCAGTGGTGTTAGCAAGAGGATGTAGGTAAGATGAGTTGGGCCACCACTGAGAGGTGTTTCCCAAATTGTGGTCTTAGGAGTAGCCACGTCAGCATCAGGCAAGGACAGTTGTTACAAGTGCAGATTGCAGGGCTCAAATGCACTTTTCCCCAGAGCATCCCAAGGTCGTCTAAGAATCACCAGTTTGAGAAACTCTGCCCTGAGCCTTCTACAGGCAGATGCTTCAAATGACAGAGTTGTACTACTGTCTAGGGAATATTTCTCAAGGGATGGATTGATGAGAAAAGAAACACAACTGGCTGTGGACAGCACATAAAATATGTGCTTTCCTCCTTTTTATTACATCAGACTGCTAAACCACAAGGATAAACAAAGTTGGCCTTGGTCAGATAATCCCCTCCCAGTAGGAGTGTTGAAACCTGCAAGTGTAACTTTTTATCTGGGATTTGCCTAGTTCTAAGGCTGCCTGAGCTTGGGGAATTCCAGCTGGCTTTAGTGTTAAATGAATTCAGATCAAATTGGGAAAATCAAAGAACTGATTTTAAAACTACAGAAAGTTGGTTTTGTGTGATTAACTCTTTTGCTTCCTTCCAGCACCGTGAATAATTACAGTCCTTTGCAAGTTACTGTTTCAGCCCCCTGGCTCCGGGACTGGAGCTGGTGTCCAGGTCTTCAGAACCTCCTGGTACCCTGTTGGCCTTGCTCTGGCTTTGTAATGTGCTTTGTATTTGTTGCCCTTAAGCTGTCTAGTTTAATTTTTATTCCTTGCTTTTTGACATAAAGTTCACTTATTTGTCTTCATAGTCTACATCAAAATGATAGGACCATTAAAGAAACAATGACGTTCCTCTGTGATTTGTTAATTTGGTAATATACAACTGTGAGACTCTTTCAGTAGATAACAGTAATTTCCGAAAAGCTTGAGGTGGGTCAGGGTTAGCTACTCCCCTACAACCTCACAACCTCACTACCAGATTAAGATTGTCATGCAAGCCAGGCTCAGATATTTCTGGCACAAATGTGTATCAGTACGCAAAGACATGATCTGTGGACTTGAAGTCTCTTCTGTGTCCTTACAGGTGATGCAGCCACCCATGCCTTGCACGCCGCAGACGCTATGTTCTAGAGTGCATGCTAGGAAACTGTGGCCCACCACCTGTTTTTGTAAATGAAGTTTTACTGGGACACAGCCATAGTCATTGCTTATGTGTGGTCTAAGGTTGCTTTCATACCGCAGTGGTAGAGTTGCATAGTTAACTATACAGAAGCAGTATGGCTCCAAAAGCCGAAAATACCTATTATCTGGACCTTTACAGATAGTTGTCTGACTACCTGTAGTTGCTGACTATGCTGCTAGTTGTCTGTTACCCCTTCAGTTGGCATCAGGTAACTGGAATCGCATTGTTTTGACAAGTCCCGGGCATTATCCCAAAAAGTATAGGTTATGGGCCTCTCTCAATTGTTATGCCCTGTTAATGACAGGATGGTATCTTTAGAATATTATGCCCAATTCAAGTATTTTGATGTCACGTCGATCTCCCAAGTGAAGGCCCATGTGTATTTTCATGATTTTGACCAAGCAACCACCAATTTCACTATTGAAAACCAATTTTCAACCTTAAGCTAATTTAGTCTCTAATGTTGATCAGAGGTAACAGAAGAGTTTAGTAACTGCTGCAAGATGTTGTGGCCTTCTAGATGAGAAATCAGCTGACAAAACTGTGCTGTGAATTATAGGATAACTGACCCAAATCAAATTACTTACATATTATTTTAACTATGTTACTTAAATGTATGCAAATATAAAGCTACATATAAGCACCTAATGCTTATAACTCTCATACACGATCAATAAAACCCAAACATTTACTGATTAAAAATAAAACTATAATACCAATACATTTAAAATTAATATTTGTTACAACTGTGTTCAGATACAATTCACATTCTACAAAATTTAACCTTTTTAAGTGTACAATTCAGTGGTTTTTAGTATATTCATAAAGTTGTGCAATGATCATCATTACCTAATTCCAAATATTTTTATCACCCCACAGAAGAAAACACATACCCATTACCATTACTTCCCTTTTCCTCCCTGATGCTGGTAATCACTAATCTAGTATCTTTACGGCTTTGCTTATCTTGGGCATTTTATATAACAGAAATCATACAATTTGTGACTGTATTAGTTCATTTTCATACTGCTATAAAGAAATGCCCTAGACTGGGTTATTTATAAAGAAAAGGAGGTTTAATAGACTCACAGTTCCACATGACTGGAGAGGCCTCACAATCAAGGCAGAAGGTGAAGGAGGAGCAAAGGCATGGCTTACATGGCAGCAGGCAAGAGAGCGTGTGCAGGGGAACTGCCCTTTATAAAACCATCAGATCTCGTGAGACTTACTCACTATGTTGAGAACAGCACAGGAGAACCCACCCCTATGATTCAGTTACCTCCCACCAGGTCCCTCCCATGACACGTGGAGATTATGGGGGAGCTACAATTCAAGATGAGATTTGGGTGGGGACATAGCCAAACTATATCAGTGACGTTTTGTGACTGGTTTCTTTCACAGTATAATGTTTTCAAGTTTCATTTATATTGTAGCATGTATAATTACTTTAACCATTTTTAATGGCTGACTAGTATTTGCAATGAATATAACATATTTTATTTATCCATCTATTAGTTGGTGGCCATTTGGCTTGTGTCTACTATTTC